CTTCTGTATTGTTTCTTTGAGACATCTTTGCAGCTGGTCCATAGCTAGATTAGCTTTTTTTTTTCCCCCAGGGCCATATATTAATGACCAGAATTGTTCTTTAAGTGTCTCAAAAATAAACCTACCAATGCACTCTGTGTGCCAAAGAGATGCTAGAAATATCTCAGCACCTTTCTAAACTTTGTTCTGGCTATGTGCAAACATTATGGACACTTTGGGTGGAAAGGCCACTTTTTCTTGCAAAGCAGAAGCATGAACATCGAGACCTCCCTTCTTGGGGAAGGTGAAAGATAAGGTCAGAGCAGCCAGCTAAGCCGTGAAGCTGCAGGGATAGCCAAGGTAAAAGCTGAGCTGCTAAAGGCTGGTGAGACAATTGTCAACAGAGTGTTAGGACAATTGCAAATGATACAAAGAAAAGAGGAGGTACTGGATAACTGATGCCCTTGGCCAATTGTGTGTGTTTGAAGAAGAGAGATTGCAGTGACCAATTGCTTTAGAGAGGCGAGTTTGCTGCAGGAACATGGTAAAAGCAGCTGCCAAAGGATTAAGACCAGTTTTAGAGAATGGGAGGTGGAATGGTAGGAGGAAATGAAGTTAGAAGGAAAATGGGATGTAAAGTTCAGGAAAGGGACGGTTGAAGTGAAGGCAGACGGTGCGGGGGGGGACCCAGCAGGAGACATTGGGATGACAGAGTGCAAGGGAAATCCTGCCAGCACACCCAAGGTCAGCCCAACCTACAGGCCAACTGCCAAGCGGATGGCAGCACGTCGGAGGCAGGGTTATGGCCATGCAGGGTTTCAAGAAGACAGGGGTGTACAATGTCAGAGAATGGCACTTCTGTGCAGTCCTTGTGTCCAGAAATATGTTCTGGGACGGAGCATACAGAATTAAGAAACTTGCACTACTAAGAGGCAGATGAAAGCTTTTCTCTAAAAGCAGCCCTGGCAATGCCAGACAGCGTGTTCACGCTGAGGATGCACTCTGCACTGCTAGCTCTGGGGGACAGAACTTGTGCTTGGGGTACCAACTGTGCGCTCGCGTGTTTTGGCTTCAAACTCTTTATGTGACCTTGTGTGAATCCGTATGATCTAAAATCTAGCTGTAGACAGCATCCATATCTTTGTCCTTACCTCTAGTTCCAAAAATGTCCATTTAATGTCTGCGAATTTCAGTGCACAGTGAACTTCAATCAGAAAAGGTGGTTAGGAGGATAAATGTGGGTCTGGACATCTATTGGGATTTCCAAATGCATCTTGAATAACAAGCTGTATTGGCACCGCTGAAGATCCTGGAGGTCTTCACAGACCCTCTGTGTCTTTAGAGCTCCAGTATCATCAAAACCCAGTCCGCTCAGTGCCCTGCATCCTTCCTTCTGTGAAACAAGGTCATTACACAGAGTATGGGGGTTGAATACGCCTGGTAGTAGCACTGTGGTGTGGGGTTATTTTAAATTTAGATGAAAAGACCTAGGTCTTGGATCCAGGAGGACAGTAACCCTAATCCGCGTACATTTTACAGGACAGCAACCCTAATCCACATACATCTTACAGCTATGTAATCTGTCATGCACAAAGCGTGTGGATGGGGATGATTTTAGTTCCTGGAGGGCAGGAATTGTCAATGATGGGCATTTTCCTTGAAAGCAAACCTGTAGACCTGTTTGTGGTGGGGATGAGGGCTGGGACAGGTGAAGCTGAGCATGCATGCACAGTAATGTGGTCGTTACCCCCGCACTCAGTAGACGCGTGCTCTCTTGCAAATTGTGGCATGCGCAAAGCAGCTCTTGTAGGGATCAGAAGCCGGAGCATGAATCGGGGGAGCCTGACTGGAGGATGCCCCATGGGGGAGGCTGGGACCCTACCACATCCTCGTTACCGCTGACCTTGGCACGAGCACTGCCTGCTGATGGATCAGCTATGGAGCTGGACAAGACCCTGGGGAACCACTGTATTATCTATTATCGTCCCATCAGTGCCTCCCCTGACCCCTCCCAGCTCCGAATGCCACAGGCATCAGGGAGGGAATAAATCTCTGTCTGATACTGAGAGAGATAAGGGAGCGAGAGCAGGAAAAAGGAGAGATGAAAAATGTCCTTTTTACGACTCTCACAACAAAGCTGGCCACATGATTCGTAGCAAACATTTCTCTGGGAAAAGGGAGGGAGAGAATGGGGGAGAATCAGCAAAAAAGCAGAGCTGCTTCTCTCCCCTGGAAGATGCCCATGGGGGATTAATAGAGGGGTATGGGTGACCTTTGAAGGTAAATATCCCAGGAAAGGAAAGAGGCCTCAAAGCTTCAGAAAGCTCACTCCAGAGTCTGACGCTGCCCTGTGAAATGCTCCGTGCAGCACACATCCACCATGAACAGAAAGCAGAGGCATAAGCGGTCCGCTGTGCTAGAGGGAGCAGTGGGGCCAGGGAGTGATTAATAAGGCACTAATAGCAACCACAGCATTGTGTTCATCATATTTGGGATGATCCAGGAGAGCTTGTACTTGTGAGCCTGGGGAGAACTCCTGCCCTTGGTGTCTTTAGGAGACAGAAGCCTTTAGCAGTGCAGCCCAGGGGCTGGAGATATGTCGGCAGGGCTTGAGATACTCCCCGTGCATCACCCACTGACAGCTGCAGGACCACAAACGCGTTCCTGCCGCCGAGTTATTTGGGCCTTATCACCCCCTGTGCTGCTGCTCCCAGGGAGGCAGCCCAGCCCCGAGGCTGCGTGCCGGCACTGACTGCAATTCCAGCCTTGCAGAAGAGCTGCAACTGGGCTGTGGGTGCAGACTGGGAGGGTTGGCATCGGTGCTGTGGGGATGGTCCCAGAGCATCACCATCATCAGGCAGGGTGCCTGCGGCCTCTTCCAGTGCCATGGAAAAGGCACCTTTGCTCTCTAGCCTTCTCATCCCTACTGCCTGCGCTGTGCCTTGGGCTGGGGCCGTGAAAAACTTCACTGCACCTGAGATGTTTAGCAAAGCGGACATTTCTAAAGGCAAACGGGTGCTTGGAGTCATGGAAAAAGACTGTACGCCGTCGGTCTCTTCTTCTGCCCCTAGACAAGCGTGTATGTTAGGTGTGAGTGCCTTCCCAATTAGCAGCACTAAGAATGCAGTTGTACAGGGCTTAGAGTCCGAAAGCAGAAGCAACTTAAATCCAGGGACAACCAAGTCATTTTTAAGAGGGCAGGTCTTGCTGAACCTGGTGAGCTGTGACCAGGGACAGGCTTGGGCTGGGGAGTGCTCACCAGAGCTGGTATCTTAACTTGCCTGTCATGGAAAAGTGTGTTAAATTCCCACTTTTACCGAAATGGCTGTAACAACTCTGTGGTAATCCTAGTAATTTGATTTTGTCTATATTGTGCTTTTAAAGTAAAGGGATAAATACAATCAGTCTGCATAAAAGGTAGCTATTAAGGAGCAAGCAAGTTGTACAATAATAACTTTAAATTGAAAGCCCTTTCCCACTACTTCTGCTGTTGTGGGGTCCGCAGATTTCCCTTAAAACTTTTGAAACATGCCTAGACTTCTTACAGGCAGCCATTTAACCTCCGTTTATGAAGAAATAAAGCAAAATTGATGTTGATTTTGGTCTACATTGGGGGATACTTTTGCAACATAAAAGCCCTTTTGCCTGCAATTTGCAGAGCAGCCCTGTCACATCGGTAAGGGCTGATACTGATAAAGATAAAGCTTTATAGCTGGGGCATTTGCAGCTAACAGCAAGCTAATGCTACATTTTCATTTTGATGCAATTAATGTTAATGTCTGCTACGAAAATTGTCATTAAATACCATTTTAAAATCCATTCAATTTGCATATGCAAAGCCCATTTAGTATCATGTAAAATACACGGTGCCGTTCATCATGTCTTTTCTCTAGAATTTGTAGCTGTTATTTTTCCGGTAGCGATTATTATCCAGCTCTTAAAATGAAACCTAATGTCTGGTCCAGACCTGCACAGAGCAAGAAAACCCTCTGTGCTCTAGCAGTAACAAGGCTGCTTCGGAGCCTCTTTCAGGGGCTTTGGGCAGTTGTGCGTGGACACTTTGTCCTGGACTCACACTGGTTCTTCCAGACCACCGTGTTCTCCAGCATCCCTTGGCTTCTATGGGGGACAGGCAGTGGAAGGACCTAGAAGTCAGTCTAAGGTGCTGATGTTCTCCCTGGCAGGCTCTGGGTTGCCCAGTTCCCCATGAGAAAGCAGCACAGCAGGCAGCTGGGAACTGGTAAGCAAGGGGGATGTTAAATGGGTCACTTCTAAACGCTGTACCTGTTGGAACCTCAGATGGGGCTCATGGATGCTTTTTAAAAATCTTTTGGAAGACACTGCAATGTAAAAGACCTAACTCAGTGTGAAGCCTTAAACATCCTGCTGCATTGCAAGGGATGAGCAGGTAGGTTTATGGCCTTCTAAAGGGGTTGCTGGGGGAGCAGCAGGTACCAGCTCCCCTCCAGCCCTTGGGAGGGAGCCCAAGAAAGCAAGAGAGAGAGCAGCGAAAAGCTGCTTTTCCTCCATCCTGCTGTATTATCTGTTTCTGCCCAACGCAGGGCAATGAACTAACAAGTGGGAGAGAGCAGGATAAAGAACTTGAACTGATCCTTAACTGCACCAGAGTATTTCAACCAGTCCAAACCAGTAGAAAAGCTGTTGCTCCAATTTTCTGACCCTGGGAAGCCACTATTCTGGCTTACAGCTCCTCATGTTCCTTTAAGTTAAAGGACTGGCATTGAACATTTTTTTTTTATAAAGAGGTTCCAAGCCTTTAGTGCCACAGGTGAAATAAATGGGGATGTGTTATGGCATGTAGATTAGATTTAGGTAGTTGATTATCTGACATACAGGTGCAATCAGACATGGAAGTGATGCTGTGACTCAGCTGCAGCATGTCTAGGTTCAGGACACTTCTGTTTTGGGGGCTCTGCTAGCTGAGATGTGGGGCAGATGTAGATGTGAGGGTAGGAAGGGATAATCTCATTCTGAGAAGGGCCCCAAGCCTTCCCCCTTACCGTGCTGTGATGCCGTAAGCCAAGTCTGCAGGTACTTTAGGAGGACATCTCTTGAACTGACTGTGTTCAACATCTTTGTGCCGAATGTCCTTGGCTTTGTAGTACAAATTAAATTCACGGGCTGTGGTATAACCGGCCTTCAGAGCACCACGGTTCATGGTGATGAAGTCTCGGGGCATCTTCTGAACGAAAGCAGTCCTGGGCTTTACTGTGTTCCAGTGACCTATTGCTGGAGGTGGAAGGAAACACAAGAGGCAAAGAGAAAAGGATCAGGCATCTCAGGTAACTTCTATTTGGGAAGGCAGGCCGATGTTTGTGCACCACGCACAAGGGCTTTGCGTGGCTTGCATGCATTTTGCCACGGCTTCGCTGTGGAGTGAACTTGGTGTCTTATTCCACTGTATTTCATATGGGGACATACCCCATCTGAATCAGATGTCTTCTCACCCTCCACCCTGGCTTGCTCAGCAAGTCTGATTTCACAGGGGAGTTGTCCCTGAGAGCACAAAGTAGGAGCTCTAACAAAGTTATGGAAGTGGCCATGTGTATCACCCTTTGCAGGTGCCATACCCCTCTCTGCTTGGGCTCTGTGTGATCCTATACAAGTTTCCAATCTGACAGAGAAACTTTACTAGTCACCAAGCAATTTGGGTGACATTACTGGAAGTGGGTGGATGTTGCAGTCCTTCACCTCCAGCTTGACGAGAAGTACTGAAGAGCACTGGGAAGGAGAGGAGAGTCCCTACTGGCATTGGGACTTTGTTGCAGGTCTAAATTTTAGTGGTGGTGTCATACCTTCAGGCACTCCTCCATCTGTCCTGCGGATGTACAGCCCATACGAAAAATCAAAGCCTGGCAGGGTGTAGCAGTTTCTCTGGGGCTTCCCCAGTTCTGCCTGCAGAAGAGTGAAGTTAAAGGAGAAGCGTAAAGACCTTTCCTGATAAGCTAAAGCCCCTGAAAATAAAAATGTGTAACAGAAGGTGGCCACAAGTACAGGAGTGGCTGTGGCTCCACTTGGCAGAGGTTTGAATCCCACTGCACAAGCGAGTGCCACAGTGCCAAAGGAGAACTCACAGCCGTGAGGCTTCACCAGAGCCGAAGCCTAAGGGATGCTGAATTTCACACAAGTTTGTACCTGAGTTATAAACTGACCTAGCCTCGCTGGAAATAGGGATCCTGACTCAATATATACGGACTTGAAGTCTCCTTGTTTGGCTAATCTCTCTCGTCTGTCCCCAGGACACCCAGCTGTGGTGTCTGCTGGGGAGACTCTGCAGCTAGTCTTAACTTTCCTTTGAGTCACTTCACTTCCAAGTTGTGCATCCTCCTAGAAAACTGATGTAAACTTTCCTCAAGCACAACCACATTGCAGCTCCTGCTTGGAAATAATCAAGACGCAAGGCATGTTGCAGGGGGAGGATAAGGGGGATGAAGAAGGGGGAGCAGAGCCTGGGGTTTATAGCACAGAACAGAAGAGAACTTGAGCTCAATAACCTCAGTTCTATTTAGTTTTAAAATGAACTCTTCCCCAGCCCATGTGTGTCCCAGCCTGGTGGTGTCTGTGGGATTAACTGACCTCCCCTCACCTCTTTGTCTCTACCCTCCCATCTCCATGGTGAAGGCACTGCAGGATGTGTGTGTCCTGAAACCTTATTGCTGCTTGAAAGGGAGGCGGTGGAGGAGGGCAGGGGCGAGAGCCTGGCAGCCTGGGTCTGTGCGTTCCTGCTGGGGGAAGCTGGAGCAGGACCAGGCAACAGCTCCCCTGGAGCCCTGAGACATGATGTGGGTGCTTTGGGACAGGTTATTTTACAGGGGAAGGATGTTGGAGGAGCTGGGAGGTTGTAGGAGTTGGCAGATCTTGTTGGGAGAATGAAAGTGCTGAAATCCTACTCTAGTGCTTCTCATGGATGAATCATTGAATACTAACATTGAGATGACTGTTATTACACTCGAGAGTGAACGCTCTCTGGATCAGGAGATGCTGAATTAAATGCAGCCCTTTCTGCAGGGACCAAGTGAAAAGAGAGAGACTGAAAATGAACCACCTCCAACTTGCCACTATGGCAGGTTGAGGCTGTACAGCGGTTGATAAGGGATGGAGTTTACTGGACCGCTTGTATAGGAACATCATCCAACCCCAAATTTATGTTCTTTTTCCAGCCAGCACCATGCAAACCCTGGTGGGGGCCTCGGAGCAGCCATGGCTCTCCTGTACGCTGCCAGCCTGGTGGCTCCTTTCCAACGTGCTGTTAAAGGGTACTCACCAAGTGTGCATGATGCTGCTGAGCAGCTTGAGCTGTTCGGTGTCACCCTCGGCTCGGGCAAAACTCTCACTGAGCTAGTTTTGCCTGGAGAGCAAGGGTTAATAACCCCTGCCCAAATCAGGCACCTTTCCAGAGGGCTCTCTGTTGAGGTCTCTAGAATTTGCTTGTAATTCCTCAAACTTTTTCACTTGGAGTCATTTTTTGTGTGCATTCAGTTTGGAATTTCTCAGCTCCCGTCTCTATATGCAGCTACGCAAAACCTTAAAAGCATGCCGTGGCTGTGGCACCGGGCTCCTCACCAGTATGTCCAGGGGTGAGATTGTGCCTGCGACTTGTCCATGTCGTGACAACAGGCCAGCTCCTCTCCAGATCCTGGCAAGCTGGCTATCAGCTTTGCCAGCTGGTGATCATTGAGCCTGCAGGTCTGTACAGTGATGCTTTCAGGTAAATCCAGGGTCTTGCTTCTCAGGTCTGGGAGGGAGGTGCTTCATCTTGGTCCCGTTAAATCTGTTTAAATCTGCTATAAAGCAGGTGTGGTATTCCCACGACTCTCAGGAGCACAAGTTCACCAGAAAATGAATTTTCTGGACTTGCCAAGATCCTTTGATAGGCTTGAAAACCCCACCAGGCTCCTTGCCCTGTGCAAAGCTACAGATCCTTTGTTGCAAACGGACCTTTTTGAAAGCAATCGACTCAGGTACCTGATACAACCTGTGTCTAACACGGCTGCATTCCCCCAGGTGCCTCCTGTGAACCTCTAGCAGATGAAGAGATGTCCCTTGCAGATGTGTCCAGCACCGAGCACAATGGGAGTGAGTGGGCTTTTAGTGCTACCGCAACTGAAATATCACACGGCAGCGCTAAACCATATGTGCATGCTGTGTGTGAGTTAGGGGGCTCGCGCAAAGCGTATAAACGGGTGCCAGGGATGATAAAGTAGCTTTCATTGCTGATCTATTTCTCCTATATTTACAGGCACTTGTACGCTAGCTATTTTTAGATTAGCTGTCACTGATATATAAGGGAAATGGCGTAACATTCCTCAGATGCATGAGAAAAGGCTTTTTCCAGAGATTATGTTCTGACACCACATCAGCTAAGTGAGGTCAGAAATCCGCTATGACGGCGAAGGCGTGCAGCAGATGGGAGAAAATTGCTGAGAAAGTGCAGGAAAGGAGAGAGGTTTGTAACCTGTGGCAAAGCTGCTTCCAGACCTTTGAATGCAGAACTCTGCAGAATGAAAGAAACTACAGGATTTAAAGATTCCCTTTTGCAAAGCACCTGAAGTTAACACAGTTGAGTGTTTACTCCATTGCAAAATGAGTGCATGCCATTTCCTTTTATGATCAGGTGGCATTTTACAGTCACTTTGCACTGAATAAATAAAACTGAAGGTGCTGGATAATTAATTAAAAAAAAAACAAACCCAAACCTGGTCCAATATGTTGAACATGGAGAGAACCTGTGCCTGAAGAAAATCAATGGACTCTAAGGACTCTGGTTGCCTGCCAACATCTTTTACCCACAAAAGCAAAGAAGGGGAAGGAGGTAGCAAGGATGAATCTTGCTCAGTGTAATTCAAGATTACAGCCTTTCTCATTCACAAATTAGCAAAACGCTGTTGCAGCCTCGTGGGCTGGTTTCATTTGTTTGTCCTGGGGCACTGCAGGTGTGCTGTGTCGTACGGTGGTGGGGAGAGCGAGCCAAAGTTGATGCAGAAGGTCCTTTTTTCTTCCCTAGCTCCAGCACCGTTTCCCGTGTTCAGGTTGAGCCCGTCACAAAGCTGCTTGGCTGGAATACAGATCTGTCTGACAGCTGTGCCCATCAGCAGACAACTTCATTAAACCTCATTAAGATGTCATTTCTCTGCCTTATTTCCCACCTCTTGGCTCTAATTAAAATCGTCTCTTTCTGCATCCCAGGCGGTCCTAATTTTCTCTGGGTACCTTCTGCAAGTTTTCTCCCTTTACGACCTCGGTGAGGAAAATCCGGCATCTTAAATACTGTTTATCCAGCCCGTTCAGAAAAGATAACTCTAGACTTTTTCCCGAAGCATTCCCAGAGCATCCTGCAGAGATCATCACCTCTTCCCAGGGCTGCGAGAGATGCGTGCTGAGGCTTTGTTTGCGCTCTCAAACTGTCTTTAAGGACTCAGCTAATGCATCCTTTCCCCTTGGACGTGATAACGTTCATGGTTGAACCAGGTGTGTCTGAACCGGGTTTGCAGCGGAGCGGTGGGGGTGTTTGGTCAGTGGGGATACCCTGGCCGGCTGAAGAGCGAGCGGTGTTGGGTGTGTCGAGCTCCCTGGCCTTTGCCAGGTAGTCTCCAATTTGTGCAGCGCTGGGTTTGAGCCCTGGGTTTGTATTTGAGTGTCTAACGGTGCTGGAAAATTTTTGCTGCGAAGGAAGAGGAAGGCTCAGAAATGGGTCTGTTTGTAAGACGTGGGCATGCTGTAAAGGTGTAAGGAAGTACAAAACCTTCAAGGATTCCAGGTTTTGTTGTAAGACTTATTTGTGTTTCATCCCCTGGTATTTACGGCCCATCGACACATATCGCATCAATTTTCTAAAGACGACTGAGACTGCGAGCGGGGTAGGAGACGTGCCTGTGCAGAGAGGTACAGCGAGAGATGGAGGCATGGATTTTTAATCCCTGCATCTGAGGCAGTCTTTCACTGGGAGGGGATGCTGGGCAAATCCATGAATCCTCTCTGCTCCGACTCACCCGGGGCTGCTCCATCCCCTCCTCAACGGCTCTGCCCTGCGGATGCCTGCAAACCCTGTGCCAGTGCGTTTTCAGCCTGCCAGGCCCTGCTTCCTTCCCTACCTTCTGTTCCCCTTTTCATTACACCCCCTTGTACAGTAAAGCCTCCCGTCACGCTGCCATTACTATTATTATTGCAGATTTACTGCACTTGCAGAGTGAAGTGATTGTGGTGACAAGGCCCAGCATTTTTCCCTCCTTCCCCCCACGACAGCTTGAAATCAAGCCCTTCATTTGCATTTACATGATCTTGCTGTGCAGCTTATGAGATCGGGAGATTTATTTGCTACTTAGCTTGATGTTTGATTACACTCTAAGAAGGCAGTGAGCTACAAAGTGCAGGGATACATCAGAACTGAGCTACTGAAAGCCTCTGGGGGACAGTAACTCAACATCAGGTTTAGGTAGATGAGAAAGGGAATGTTCAGTGTTTTGAGAAAGGCAAATTTGATGAGATTTTCTTTTTTTAAAGGTGGAGGGAAAAAACTTACTCTCCCTCTCTCACAGGAAACGGTTGGGAAAAGAAGAATGTTGTTATAACAACACACCTGAAAATCCGGATTTGTTAGTGCAGAAGAAATCCTAGCAGGGACTGGTGGCTGCTGGGCTGCCTGCTGCTAACTGCTTGGAACTTCCACTCCCAAGAAGGTTATTAATAATAAGTTGGCAGTTATCTTTGAAGATTTTCATACACAGTAAAGGTCAAAGTCAAAGGAAGTTTTGCGTGATGGACTACAAAATCTGTCCCTGATTTATTAAGCTTCAAAACATGCCACGGAGCATTAATCCTCCTGTAATAGTGGTGAAACTGAGGCAGGGAATCAGTGTGTTCATGCAGGACAGCAAAGGGAATGGAGTTTGGATGGGGAAGAGAAGTGGACCATTCCCAGTACTCTACTGTGTTCAGAGTGGGAGACCAAATTATG